CATCTGGTTATGTGGACTTCGTTTGTGCAGAGGTCCACACTGTGTATGCCATTCCTGCCCACACGAACCCACCCACTCGGGGGTGGACTACATGTATCATCATTTCACCCACGTTTTCGTGGTGAGAAAAAAATAAGGCTGATTGCTTATATTATTTACAGCTAAAAAAAAACTTGTTCTACCTTTTTCAGTGACATACATATCGGTTGTTGGGAAGTCTGAACTGATCATGACACTAGGGGCAATATTCACGATACTGTATTGTACATCTGTTATGTAATACACTCCTGCAGACCCTCATATGTCAGCCCGGCTCACGGATATGGAAAGTGGCAGTGCTAGTGAAATGACGGAAAATGAGTGCCAAAACAAACAACCCCCCCAAAAAATTCCTGGACGAGGATTGCGCCATCCATCTATCCATCTATAGTTAAGTTTTCTTTTCATCAGGGAACGGTGCATAATGCTTTCGGACCATGCCATCCCTTCAGCACGCCCATCACCCCCCCCCTTCCTGAAAGCTAGATCCTCCCCTGTTACTCGTTCGAATATATGTCGTGTAACTGATCGAATGAAAACAAAAGAAGAGCTTGCTACAAAGACCCAAACGCACGTGTGGAATGGAACGCGGTGTTTGTTTAGAATTACGAGTGAAGGTGCATTTCTGCTTTAGGAGTAGTAATACCTCGGGAACGGTGAGTGGATTTTCGATTTCGGACATAAGTTCTTCTGCTTGTAACATTATATATTATGACTTCAAAAACAGTCGATGAAAAAGAAAGCGCCACAATAAATCAAGACGCGTGGGACCGACTTGCTTAAAGTCATCAAGAGGAAGGACTTTGAAGGATGCTCGTGGAGGACAAGAATGATATGAAATAAATGATTATTGCAGTCCTCTTAAGAAGAGCAGTTTGTATTCTCGGCCAGAGAGCACCTTTTCTTGGAGAATATCACGCCACTCGCTGGCCTGATTGCATGGATTCTGGTGATAACTTTCTTTAGTCGAGAGCGTCACTTTGAAATTTCCGAATCAGGAATTAATTTAAGAATTGAAGCAATGTTCAGTCTATATGAACGCAAGAAACCGATCTACAAAATCACCCAAAAATTATTGCATGACAGGAAATACATATTTATTTGAAGCTGATCAGAAAATTGGAAGTAATCAGAAAACAGAAGTTGTAACTGAAAAAGACAACTCACGGTAAATATTCCCACTGCTAAACCTAAAAAGTTAAGGACCTTTTACTCCGGTAAATTTCGCATCAGACATTTTTGGACGTCATCTTTGAGTCGCATTTGTTTAAGAATAAACCGACCTTTTTGTGTTTGAAATTACAGAATTATTTTATGTGTTAATGATATGTTTTAAGTTGAATTTTATAAAAGTTCTTAGACTGATTTTCATCTTTTAGTAGTGACATGAAAAAGATCGTATATTCAAAAGTTCCGTTCCATCCGTCATTTACAAACTTCTTTTAATTGTTCTTCTACGAGAATTACCCCTTGAATCAACTTAATCAAACAGTAGTAGTTTGAGATCTCCAAGCACAAATAAATTAAACATTGGACTTGGTGGTCCCTTTTGTGTACATTCATATAATTTACAGTGCTTGGAGTTAAAACTTCACCAGTTCCGTCTTTACAGCGCTGCAGAAATTCCGAAATTGAATGTACTAATGCTGTGTCAGGACAGCAAGATTGCTTGTTCAGCGAACATTTTGTATGGACTATCTCTGTTTGCTTCGAGTCTGTGCAATTTTAAAGGAGATAGATCTGAAGAAATGCCAGTACCGTTTTATGCATCATGCATCTTCATTCAAAAAGTACTTCATGAAGAACGCAATCCATCTGATTGTCTTTATTTGGTAATTTTGAATAACTGCATTTTGTTTGCATTGATTGTTTCAGCCCAAGACTGCAAAGGTGTTTAACAGTGGCAAAAGTCTATGAAAAAAAATAGTACATTCAAAGATCGCTCTTTTCGGAGATGGAGCGATTGGCATGGTTGTTCCGGTTTGTATAAACTTTAAAACTTTTACAACAGAAAAAAACACCGACACCTTGAATGAAAGCGATACCATTATGATAAACGAGCCGCATTCCTTATAAATGAGGGGTTTATTACTCAACAGGTACGTAGCTCTTGTACCAGTTGTGTACCCGTATCGGAGGAGGACGAATAGCCTGGATTACGTGCTTGTAAGTGGCCCGGAGCTCGTGTGGAAGGCCAAGGAGGTCAGATGAAATGCAGAGCTCACTTGCCAGTGGGCGGTCGGATGCGGTGCGGAGCTCGTTTGGAAGGAGGTCGGATGCGGTGCGGAGCTCGTTTGGAAGGACTTCCGATGGCATCTGGATATCGTTCTGAAAAGTATAAGACAAAGAAATCCGCTTTTATTTTTCGGGACTTCTTATTTAAAAATTTGGTATAATTTCTCATTTGAGAATCATAAGTTAATTGGCAGTTAATAAATAAAACTGCGTGCAATAAACTCTATCACCTTTTTCTTGTAGTAAATTTTTTGGGGGGTGGAACTTTACGCTTAAATGAGAGGACATTCATTTGTCACTGCTCTCGGTTACGTACTTTCTTGTCCAAGTCCAGCAGCATTCATATCTGTTCAATGCAGAGAAAATATTACATTACAAAGATAACAGACGAATGTACGGCCTAAACAAAATACCATCATTTTTTATCATGTTTGAATTGTTTCGGCATTGAATATTTTGTCAGAAACACCGCCTGCCGTATAATGAACGTGAGTGTTGACGGGTATCTGAGGTTGATGCTGCCTTGAATGTCAAGAAAGGGATTTTTGCATATCAAGGCATCCGCTTTCCTTACTTAACAGAGATGCAAATGAGTAATGAAAGTCACCGCTTCAATTGTAATCCTTCACATGGGACTATTAATGAAGTTAAGGACCATGCAGAGACACAATTCACTGTGTATAATCCGAGTGCTTGTGTCTACTTATAGGCCTATAAGGATAGTTATAACCCATAATCCCATGTCATAAAAAATGGTAGATTACTCTTAAGTAGAAATAAAATTGAAACATGCTGGTTTTATCCCATACCGTCAGCTCAGATTGTATCAAATTGTTTGAACACACCAGATAACTCTTGGAATCAAAATCGCATGAATGTGATGAAAGCAGAAACGGTGAAATCCCTTTTGCAAAGAAGACGAATCGGTGATGGCATGATCAGGAATCCAATGCGCATTTGTGCATGAAATCGCTTTCGACTTCAGAAATTATATCAATGACTAAAAACGTATATTGTCGCGTTTCTTTATTCATCAGACCAGATCAGCCGTGCGTTCCTGACTCGTATCTTCACCGATAAACATGTCTATGACTGTGCACCAATGTATGATACCTACCATTATCACGGTCTACTTCGTTTTGTCTTTCCTCTCCAGACGCACACACTTTTGAATGAAAAAAGAAAAGTGGGAAAGCATTACGGAAGACTGGCAGGTTTCTCCATGAACGTTGTCACTGTAATATTTTCCAAAGTTTGTATCTTTTATGATGTGGCATAAAGAGGGTCAGAATAGTTTCCTTATAGGCCTGCCTATGCGTGGAAATGTGGGATTACGGAATGCTAAGCAATGTAGGATTCTCAAAGCTGTTGGTTCATACTCAATAGCTGTTGGTAAGTTCGAGTTTTTGAGATTTTTACCTCTTACCAATTAATCCGTATGGGTTTATGAACCTTAGTCAAATTGATCTTCGGTACAATTTTGTAAACAGACTCCGTATTGACGGCTATGGGCAATCTCATCCGAGTACTTAGTATTGCCGGCTTTTTATTGCATTGAAAGCATTTCCTCGACTTGTTTTGGGGTTGCAAATTACGCACTGTAGCTGTTCAGATTAAAGAGAAATGAAATATTCTTCAGTTGTTTATGCAAGAGGAGACGCGTTCTGTAAATGTCTGGATTTTTACAATCACTATTGTTGGTGTATGGGCCAAAGCCAAACACACATCGAAAATTAACTTTTTCAATTTCACTCACCCATTACGACCAGGCCAAGTATGACCAGACAGATCACCAGCTCCACTTTCATGTTGACAAGATCAATACAAGACTGACCAGAGTACCTTGCAGCGTATGGAATGAATGCTTGCAGTCTGCAACTAAGAAATACACAAGTTAACAATAGTCATAATGTTATTAGCAATAATTCCGATTACCAATTAA